GCTTTGTAAAATATGCAAAGGAAGAACATAATTTAATCTACAGTACTCCTACACTGAGTTCTTAACATCTCCATTAAAAGAAAACCGAACACATAAGAAAGAGAAATTGCTGAAGCTCGCATGAATCAAAATAGGCAAAAATAAATGGATAAATAATTTAGTGTTATACGAGGTAGTTCCTATATTTGTGTTCAGATCCTATAGCTTGGAAACATTTTGCCTATGTCAGCCTTCCCTGATCTGGTAACTTTCCAGTGTGAATTGGGAAGTGGGTTACTGGCCATATATTTGAGGTTCCTGAAACATTAATTGACTCTTTGGTTTGGATCAAAAAATCTGATTTTTTAAGATACGTAGCAATTATCCACTCAGAATTGAAAAGAGAGCTAAAGAGCGGATACAAGATGTAAATGGATATTGCTATGTTTTGTTCACAAGACAATTGAATCTATATACTACTAAAATTCTCATATGATCTTTAACTGGGTGAAATAAGAGTATCATAGGGGAACAACCTTTGAACCAAGGTACCTCAAACAGGTTAACTTGCATTACAAACCTGACTTCTAGGGAATGGAATTTGGGAAAGTTGTGGCTGCTTCAGTGCTACTGGCTGTTGCTGGGGATGATTTTCATTTCCAACATTGTGTGAATGTTGTGTTCCCAGCCAGTCTTGATTTCTTGCCCCTTCCCCTACTCAGCAGCAGCTACTTACCTGCCTCCTATAAATAGAAGGGAAGCTTTCCAATGATTCTCACAAGGAAACTCCGGGGTGAAGCCAGGAGGAAGTTGGAAGTTGCTCCTGCACCCACTATTTTTTTGCCCCTCCTTACTCCCCAATCATTCTGTTTCTCTATTTATAGAAGGAAATATCTCTAAAATAATGATCCAACAGGACCCGGGGTTGTATAGTATATTAATAGTAATTTATCAGCATTCAGTCTAGACTCTAGCACAGTGTTTCTCAACCTTGGCAACTTGAAGATGTCCGGACTTAAACTCCCAGAATTCCCCAGCCAGCGAATGCTGGCTGGGGAATTCTGGGAGTTAAAGTCCAGACATCTTCAAGTTGCCAAGGTTGAGAAACACTGTGCTAGAGTCTAGACTGAATGCTGATAAATTACTATTAATATACTATACACCCCCGGGTCCTGTTGGATCATTATTTTAGAGATATTTCCTTCTATAAATAGAGAAACAGAATGATTGGGGAGTAAGGAGGGGCA